TCGATGCGTTGTGTTGCTTTTTTCACCGACGGACTACGATGTATCTAACATCGATGCGTTGTGTTGCTTTTTTCACCGACGGACTACGATGTATCGACAACCTCAATGTACCTGGGATTGCTAATCCCAGATCCGACAAAATTGAAGAGGTCCGGCCAAATCTCAGTTAAGTCGTCCTCGCTATGATGGTAATGCGCGTTCGAATGCGTGGTAAGAACAGGCCAGATGCGAGAGTGCTCGTTTTTCACCAACGAGTGTTTCTTAGAGCAGATCGGTTTATTGTGAGTTCGGTTATTTGTGAAGCGCTTGTGTATTTTGACGTTCGGAGACATGTCGCGATCGAGGATTCGAAGAAGGCAATATTATTTTTTGGGATCGAAGATGATTCACTGAAGATTCGATTCTGTACTCGCGTCAAGTCATTCACGCGCTCGGTTCAAATTATCAGTTGCAATTGTAGAGAAAGAAGTAGAAGTTCTTGAAAAGCCGCGCGGTTGTATTTCAAAAACTCTAAATCATTGAAGATCATAGAGCAATTAAGCTGTAGGGATAAAAAATGTCGTCCCCATTCCAAAGTTTGCTACTCGAGGTGCAGAACTCAGCGTCTGGCTCATCACTGGGCTCTTGGAGCTGGCTTGCATCATCGCCCCATTCGACGGGTGGCACAAGTCACGCCACTGCATCACATATCATACCTGATTCCATTCCAAGAATACGACGTGAAGTGAGTGCAAGGACACCTTCAACATCGTTTGTTAACATGAAAGAGATAGAACGAGGCCCTGCACCAGGATCTTCGACGACGACATGGGTAGACACATCTTTTTCATCAGCGCCTCGTGCAACATCTTTACCCCCTCCTCCCCATCTAAAGAAGTCAAGGACTTCACCATCCCAAACAACTTCCTTCCTCCTTGCGAAAGAGTACAAGGATATTCTGCGAAGTAACCTGCCTTACATGAGCGCATCGCAGATGGACCAGTATAACGAGTTTGCAGATTTCCTAACCGGGTCAAAAGACCACTCCTGGTCCAACCTTTTGGCACACAGTCCGGCAATGAAGAATCAGCGGAAATTGCTAGGAGCCGAAGAAACGGAGAAGATTATTGACGATGTACCTCTACTGCTTTTTCAATTGTGTCCAGTTCAGCGCTAGTACGCGTCTGCGATTGTGCGAAGATCCTAGGTAGCAGGGCAGACTCATATACAGACAGCAATCTTCAATTTCCTATCCTGTGATATTCATTATCACACCAGTGGTTTGATTTTGTGAAGCAATACATAAATGCCTTCACGACATCCTCCTTAATATCACAACAGGTAATAACCGAGTACGGCAAGCAGCGCAAAACAGGCGCTAAAAAAGAGGGCGAGCAAGCGATACGGGATGTAGCCCCACTGCAGAATTACCTAGAAAAGCTAAAACAAAATCCGGAAGGCTTGTTGCAGAACATTCAAGGGTTATTGGACAGTGGCAAAAACAACCTGCCTAAACAAATACTTGGAGGAGTCAAAGACATGATGCAAATGAGCAATATGCAAGCGGCATGAAGATGGACAAATCAATATTATGACAAAGTAAGGAGAAGTTCTTGTAGTATGCAAGAAGAAAGGAAAGTAGAATGTTGATTTTGATTTTTTGCACAGGGGACGAAGGATGCATGGTTATCATCGATCCCAGATTATTTTCGGGTAAGATGTTGTACAATGACACTGTACAACAAGGTAGATACTTTTTTTTCTGACATGGATGATAGATGAAGATTTACAACATACTGGAATTGCAGCCGATGTTGCATGAAACAATTGCAGCAGGCAGTCTGTTCAATAAGACGACACGGAATCGGAGATGCGAAAGCGGGGAACCTTCATTGTCATCAAATCCTCTGGTCCTCATAGACACAAGTAAGTGTCCGCAGAGCCAGACTTGCTTCTTTTTTCGACACCGTCCTTGTGTGTGTCAGGCGGCATTTTTGTTGAGCAAGATTACACGCGAGTTGTGAGATAAGTAAGCGAGCAATTGAAGATTTATTTCTGTATTCCCATCACCAACGTTGTGGTGAGAGTGACAGTATTTTTTACACACCGGAGGCTGTAAGATTTTTGTAAGATTTTTTTATCAAAGTCACTACCGAGTGCTGTCTCTAGCACAGTTCCTGTATTCATTGTAGAATACGAGTGGGCCCGTCATTCTTGACCGGCCACTGTTGTAAGACTAATTCTTTATTAATACGATTTTTTCAATATTTAAAAGTTACATTGTAGTACTACAAAAAAAACAGAAAAAATGCCGGCCGGAGGTTACAGCGTCCAGCCTCGTCTGGACTACCAGACGATTGTTGGTGTCGAGGGTCCTCTCGTTATCATGGACAATGTCAAGTTTCCGACCTTTGGTAATTATTTGCCAATTTTCCGCATGTCGCACTTGTCTTCCCCGTTGTTGATGAGTAACGAATGGCAAGCCATCACCATCGGAAGCATGGGAAGTTTGTGTCTCACAAACTCCTACCTACTATTTTTACCGAGAAAAGAACTCAGCATCTCACCAACTCAACAGGTGAGATTGTCAATGTCTGCCTCGCAGATGGTCGGGTGCGACAGGGACAGATCCTTGAGGTCAACAAAAAGAAGGCCATTGTGCAGGTGTTTGAAGGCACTTCTGGCGTCGATGTGAAGAACACGCACATCGAATTTACCGGCGATGTCCTCAAGATGCCGATCTCCGATGACTTGATGTTATGGATTACTTTGTGCTGCATGACTCTTATTCTTACTCTGTTGTCCTCTCAGCAATTGTAGATGAACCAATGTGGTGGCCTTCGACGATTTGATGTTATAAGTATGTAAATTGCTTTTTACTGCATCTCACTTAAAAATCGTACTAGCATCTTGTTTTTAGTTAGAATAAAACAAAAACAACCTCTAATCATCGGGCGAGCGTTTAATGGTAGCGGAAAGCCGATTGACAAGGGACCCCCAGTGTTGGCGGAGGAGTTCCTCAGTATCCAGGGTAACCCGATGAACCCAAAGGCCCGCGTCTACCCGAAGGAAATGATCGAGACCGGTGTCTCGACGATCGATGTCATGAACTCCTTGGTAAAACGAAGTTTATCTTCCTCCTCTGTGTTGAATCTACTACAAACGTAAGTTTATCTTCCTCCTCTGTGAATCTACTACTTATAAACGTAAAATATTGATAATTTTCTAAGTTAGTACTACTACTATGTAGACGTAAAAAAATTTAAGAAGCGAAGGGCAGTACCTAGAAAATTTTGTTCACTGACTTATAATGAACAAAAGAGAAACAAGCAAAGGGAGCACCATCCTGTGACAACTCTACCAGGTCCGTGGTCAGAAGTTGCCTCTTTTCTCTGCTGCGGGTTTGCCACATAACGAGATTGCAGCACAGATTTGCCGACAGGCTGGCTTGGTAAAGGGAAAGGACGTGATGGATCATAGTGTGGATAACTTCTCTTACGGCTTCATCTACTCATAATTTTTGATCGATGTATTGTATTCTTCATCACAGTCGCTTGTCGCGTAAGCAGGACCTCCGTTTATCCACAGTTGATATAATTAAGGCTCAGCTTTCAATGGTCATTGGGGTTGGTCACTGGCGACCCCTTGAGAGAACAGGGGAAAGCGAAGGGAAAGGGGAGAGCTTTGAAGGGGGTCCCTTCCGTTCAGAATCAGTGACCACCGAAGGCTGAGCTTTAATATGAAGAAGGATAAGTAGGAGGTTACGAAGGAAGATACGAGTACTACCTCTCTAAGTCTTCATCGTTTTCGCAGCAATGGGTGTGAATATGGAGACCGCGCGATTTTTCCGCAACGATTTCGAGCAGAACGGAAGTATGGAGAACGTTGTGCTGTTCTTGAACTTGGCAAACGACCCGACAATCGAGCGAATTGTCACGCCACGGTAACACTTTTAATTTGCTTTCTTAGGCCCCTCATCTCTCTACTTTTGTTCTTTACCTCTGAATACAACAGTTGTTCAGTCTGAGCAGTAGCATAAACTCCAAAATACCTTCACTCATCAATCGTAACTCAGTCTCGCCTTGACAACCGCGGAGTACTTCGCTTATACCCGAGAAATGCACGTGCTGTCTATCATGACCGATGTGTCTTCCTATGCCGATGCATTGCGAGAAATCTCGGCAGCGCGTGAAGAGGTCCCCGGTCGACGTGGTTACCCAGGTTACATGTACACAGATTTAGCCCAGCTCTACGAGCGTGCTGGCCGAGTAGAGGGAAAGAACGGTTCTATCACGCAGTTGCCAATTTTGACTATGCCGAACGACGATATTACCCACCCGATTCCGGATTTGACCGGTTATATCACGGAAGGACAGGTAACTTTTATAGATGCATACCTACGCAAGAAGATGAAGGTCTTTTCATTTCATGAGTCATGGTCCTGTAATTGGTTGCTTCTCTGTAGTTGATCGGTCCTATACTTCTTGTGGTTCTTTTTTCAGCTACCCTATCTTTATCGGTCCTATACTTCTTGTGGTTAGGTTCTTTTTTCAGCTACCCTATCTTTATCGGTCCTATACTTC